AGTTTTATGTATTTCTTTAAATTTAGATAAACAATTTTTACATACGTGTAGGTAATATTGGTCCAGCCAATATCCACTTGTCCATAGACAGTAACTAGAATAATCTTCAAAAACATAACCCCAATCTGATTTTCCTAATATAGTGTGAATTAAATTTGGATCTATTTCTTTGTGACATCTAATAAAGTTAATTCCTGTATATGAAGAATCAAGATCATTTTTGGCTTCTTTAATCATAGCGTGCCATTTATATAAAGGAAATTGTTTCACAATTTCCGTAGTTAATTTCCATGGTAGTGGAGACTGCTCCATGAATTCTACTGCTGATGATGTTATTGATTCGCAAATTTTTCTAACAGCTAACTCTGATAATGTTGGGGCATTCATCTATAACAAAAAAAAAAAACGCTATTATAAGATACTGTAATGCCCCCACGGAAGTGTGTCAAAACTGTTCGGAATTAAATAACGTTTGTCGTCATACGGACTTAAACTAATTTTTGACTGTTCAACAGAATATACGTTGTGTGCATACGACCTGATACAGCGTTGTGTAGCTGTTTTTTTCCTTAAATTCTTTCAAACATTCAACATAATCCTCAAATGCAATTTTATTTTTAACAACATTGTACTTAACCCCTTTAGATTTTTAACCACCTTCCCACCCTGCACCTTGTAACTATACATTTTGCTTCGAAGTCCAACAAAATGTGTCATAATTTTACCGTTATTTTCATCTTTCATTAGACCCGGCACCTTTTTGTTCTTACGCAGTATTTTATATATGTTATTTTCAGGATAATCCGAAGTATCAAATTTACTGGAATCAGCTTTAATGATCTCCTCATATGCATCCTCACATTGCAATTCGTAGATAAAACTGTCTGTGTCCATGTACATGAGCTTACACCTTTCTGCACCCATTTTTGGTAGCATATAGGTGTAATGAAAATCGTACATGACTAGTTTCGATAGGTCTAGAATTGCCTGCCCTACATACAGAGGTTTGTTAAACGTTATTTCAGCCTTGTTCAATTCGATAACCACCAGATTTTCCTCTAAAATTGTGCGACTGTGGAACCGAAAACTCGAAATCAAGTTTGCTGCCCCATAGCGACCACCCCAAGATTTAACGATTTTACATACGCGGTGCTTACGTATATTTTCCATGGTCTTACCGAATACTGCATTATTCATTAATTTAAAAGATTTTTTTCGAAATCATTCCGGGCTGCAGCTCTACATCGAGTATTCAACTCGATGTAGGGTTTCAGCCAGGCTGCTTGTTTAAATTGTAAAATTTTATGGATTTTCGTTAACTTTAACCCATTAGCTAGCATTTGTTTTAAATTTTTATAGTGAACCGTGTACTCTTTTTTATCCGTAAGTGTTGCCATTAATTTCGGCAATTTTACCCCGCCGTCGCTGGGTGGTACGCTACGTTCTGCCGCAAACGGAAAATCTTTGTGTTTATCGTGCAGTTCTTGTGGGTACGATAGATCGACTTGTAGCACGTACCCTACGTCAGAGTCGTCGGGTATTGACATCACATCAAACGATGTTACATCATCTACCCATTTGAACCCTCCGTAGGGTAAGGGTTGCTGCATAGCCTTCCCATATAAGCTATTCACATCCAGGTACATAAGGTACTTGGACGGCTTTTCAGGATCATATTCGGGCATATATTTATTGTTGGCCTCCGAAAATCGGTTGCTACACACCGAAATTCCACCTCTTATAGCATTTTCGTAAAACATCACCATATCTAGATCCTTTAGTAGTTCTAACTTACACCCAGTGTATTTGAGCATACAGTCCCACGTATATCCGGGCATTGTATAGTACCACGCAGGATCCAGACCATAGGTGGAGAAACATTTTTTACGCAATTGCTCAAAAACGTCGGCAAGAAGCAGAATATCTGTTTTTAAATATATATCAGAATACTCTCCTAATGTTTTAATGTTAAACTGTTGCCAAACAGATTGCGCATGAGCATACTTCTCGTCACTTACACTTTCATCGTTTAATTTATTGTAAAATTTTTCAATTGGGGGCAAAGTCGTTTCATTTAATTTTTTCAACGAATCAATGTAATCGTAACAGAAACTCCTTTCTGTGTTAATAATTTGAATTATCTTCATCTAAATTTGAAATTCCCTTTGTAAAATTTTCTTTTCTGATACTGCTAAAATTGAAGCTAATTCATCAAGAGACGCCCCCATAAATCGAAAAGAGTCTATAAACCGAAATTTAATGTTATTTTCATCTGAGTGCAGCGTAAAGGAGAATGTATTTATCTTTGTTGATGGGAGGTAGACTTAAGCGACCTTTTTTACATAAATTCGAAATCATAAAGTGACTATCGTACCCACTTAATATGGAATATAACCGGCACAACAAACAATTTTCTAAAGTTCAGATTGCATGCTTGGTGTGCGTAACCTCTGAATCTCCACTGAAATGGTTGTGATCTCTAACGATTATGTCTTTTTTTGTTTTTGAAAATCTCTTACCGCAAATATA